TTCTCTCACTAATTAAATTTTATTGTTCCTTCATATAAATAAATATTTAATCATCAGGTATCATTATTAACGTGCAACGCACGTTCATAGATACTAGTATATATATATATATATATATTTGGAGATAGGAATTCTACAAATTTATTTATATAGAGGGAATTAAATCACCTGGCAATTTTTTTTATCCTCATGACTAATTCTTAACATTGATAAGCTTGTGATTCCTAATTTCTGATTCTCATAGAAATAAGCTTTCAATGTAAGCTGAGAGCCTGAGACTTCATCTTGCCCTATGTGGACTTATCTAGTTATTTGGAGTCAATAATTTAGCACAGATAGGGTCCATAGATTTTACAACTAAAGTTTATAATCTAGTGATATCAATGAAGTCTTCCCCATAGTAGGTGTGAATTCGATTTCATCACTTCGTTTCCTTTTTACCTAGGGGTGTACATGAGCTAGATTGATTTGGTTTTTATCAAAATCAAACCAAACCAACTATAATTAAATCTTTTATAACAACCTCATTTGTTCTGATATTTTTTAGCTGCTATAGTGATGTATTGTTATAAAGGACATATATTATAACATAACATAAAAATCGGTTCCGAAACAATTTGGCTTTTATAGTGAATGATTGTTATATAGAGATGCAGTTATAGAGAGGTCTGACTGTATATCGATTTTGGATTGGTTCGATTTTCTCGTTTTTTCGGAGTTTTTGAATTCTTTGGGTACATGAATATTATTTCAATCATACTTTGTTAAAATTATAAATAAAATTTTGATAAGTGAACATATATTTGGCAAAAATTGGAAAAAATTCAGACATATGATCTATTAAAATATTCTTATGGGAGAACTATTTTAGTAACACATGATTATTTTCTTAGTCGTCTAATAATAATTTTTCATTGATATACACTTTTAAGGTTAACCGAATTTAATAATTAAACATAAATTAATACTAAACCTAAATAATGATATGTTCTATTTAATTTTAAAATGAAATGCCATATCCTAGTCGAAAAAGATATAAGAGTTTAATAGATCAAAACAAAGAGATTAACACATTTCAATAACACTCGAAAAAATGTGATAATACAAATTAGGGCTGCTAATAAGTACATTTTACCAGATATTAACCACAGAATTTCTCTCATAAAAATATATAAATTATCATGTTTCTTCCATATTCTTAACTTTATTTTGCAGAAATAATTATAGCAGAATTATTGTGCGCAACATGAAAAAAGAAAAATAAATATTCCAAAAAAATACAACAAAGAAGTGTAAGATTGAGCTATGATTCATTACTGTCGTGACAATGTACCAAGTCTTGATTTGCCATGATGATATCTAAACTTAGAATTGTAGAATTCTCATCTCTCCAATTTCAAAATCTAGATTTGCCATGATGAAATCGACGAAATTTAAACTTAGAATGACAAATTCTCATATCTGCAAATAGAAAATCTAGATTTGCCATGGAAATCTAGCACCAAATCGAGAAGTCATCATGAAACTTTCTTATATAAAGAGATGTTGCCCGATCAGAGGAGGAGGGGAGTAGAGAGAAAGCTTAGAGCTAGAAGTCTGATAAGTAGGATTTTAACATGTTTTATACCGATACTTGCTTGCGCTTTGAGTGTAATTTGCTACAAAATAGTCCCAAAATGCTTACAGATTGCGCTTGATTTCAGGTTTTGAGCTATAAAGTGACAAATCGTCAAAGATCGGCTCAAATCGGAGTGAAACCTGCTCAAGTGCCAAAGATCATTAAAGTAAGGACATTCAGAACTTGGTGCGGACCGCACCATCATGTCATGCGGCCGCACCATAGGAGTTCAGAGACTGTGAAACTACAAGTCAAACATCATGCGGCCGCATCCCACTTCATGCTGCCCGCGTCTCACTCATGCGGCCACACAATCTTGCTATGCGGTCGCGTCCAAGAAGTTCAGAGAGTGTCATATTCCAGAAGCAAACCACGCGGCCGCGTCCCACTTCATGCGGCCCGCGTCCCTCTCCATGCAGCCGCACTCTATGGTCACGCGGTCTGCGTCCAAGAAGTTTAGAGAAGCTGCCAAAACTATTCATGCGGCCGCACAACAACTTTATGCGGTCCGCGCCAGTCTTCATGCGGCCGCATTCCAACTTTGTGCGGTCCGCATCACCATCTTCAGAGAGCAAGATTCAGAGGTCAAGCAACCCAGTGCGGCCGCGTGCCAACTTTGTGCGGTCCGCACTAACCCCGCAGAGGCATTTTTGTTCAGTTTTTTCAGCCCACTATAAATAGAACATTTTACCATTTTTAGGTAAGTTTGGTACATCTGATAGCTGCTGCACTCGCGAGACTTATGTTTTGGCCTATTTTGGGCATTTATAGCTTGGTTTCATCATAGATTATTGTAGTTTGACATTAGTAATTAATTAATATGGTTGTTTCATCTTCAATTTCTTCAATTTCTTCTTTAATTATGTCTAGCTAAACCCATTAGGTAGGGTTGTGGCTCAACCCTAATGTGGGTAATTAATGGGTGTTGCTTCTTAATGATAGATTGATATTGGGTGTTTGTTATTTGGGTTAATTTTATGGTTTAATTAAGGATTGATAAAGAGAGTCTATGACCCCAAAATTGACCCAACAAGGAATTGGGGTGGACCCATGAGAAATGGTAGTCCCAATTAACGGGTTAAACCTCGAGAGAGTAATCACCCTACTTGAACCCATGTTGCTTGGTCTAATTGGCCTACCCAATTGGTCTCGAGAGAGCCAATTGGGAAAATTCCCTCTCTCTACCGAGAGGTGTGAGAGTGGGTATAATTGTGCAACGGTTATAACATTGATCCCAAATATGTCAATCTATTATTAGTAGTCTCTACCCGTTAGTTAACCACCTAGGTGATGCCACGACCCTAGTGCCTTTCTCTATATTAATCACAACTTAGAATATATCCCTTCAGCATAAATTAGCTTAAATTTGTAGTTGATAATAGTAGTTATTAAACAAAAACTCCAAAAACTTTTAGAAGTACAATTAGGAGCAAGCACGCATTCCTAGTCTGAACAAATACGCAACTCCATTCCAAGCTCCCTGTGGAAATTGACCCTGATACCACTATTCGGGTAAAAGTCTTAGCGCCCGCTCTTCCTACCGTTGTGTGAGGTTGAGTTTGATGCGATCAAAGTCTGAATCCAAATTCTTAATAAGCTTCTCTATTTTATTTCTTTCACTAGTATCGAGTTATCTTTTCTTTTAAATCACAATAGTGGTTTAGTTGTTGTTACTAAATAAATTTCACTGTAGGAAATTACTCTAGTTCATGCTTTTAATTAAATAGGGGGAATTATTATTCTTGAATAATTCTTTCTATTTTCTTATTTAGTGGACAAGAATATTTCCATTGTAGTACTAATTCCAGTATGGAGTAACTTTTCTTGTGTTGGGAGAAAGACGGATCTTAATATTTCTATATAATAGTAGATATCATTCCTCAAATTCACATGCTTGAGCTAGAATTTATTTAACTTTTATCTGCTTTTACAGTTAGACGTTATTTAATTTATTAACATCTATCTATCTTGTACTACATATTAACTGTTTATTAATTTTGTAATCGAGAGAGGCAGAAGAAATAATATAGTTAAGTGTAGTATTGATAAATGTTAATATTTATTCAGTAACATCTATCTCTTTTATGTTATAATTAATTTTACACTTATTTGTAATCGAGAGAGGCGAATAGTGTAATAATCAGTTATAACAAGTAGGGTAACCGAAAGGGACTTACTAACAAGAGCGTGTTTTAGTTCAATCATATATTTCTGGTTCTTCAATATTACTAGTTTGAAGATTAATTTGTATAATCGAGAGGAGTGCAATTAATTATTCAACTTAAGTAATAATATATATTTGTAATCGCGAGAGGCATTTATACATTTTTGAGAAATAGAAATTGAAGAATAATAATTCTACTATATAATAGAAATATTAAGTGAAGTCAAGATCCCAACACCTTTTATTATATTTATGAAAAACAAAATATTTTCTACTGCTCTATTTATGCATTTTTAGTTAGTTAATTTACAACTCAACTCTTTCTGATTTTCTCAAATAGTAATTAAAACAAGAAACGTATGTAGAATAGATAAACCAATCTCTGTGGGTTCGACATCTTTCTATACTATAATTTGATAGAGTACGAGTTTAATTTATACACATGCTAGACACTCGTCAAATTTTTGGCGCCGTTACCGGGGATTGGCTAAAGTCTACTACAGATTAATTATTTTACTACTAATTTGAGAACTTTTTATTTAATTATTTTAACTTTTCTGCAGAAATTTCAAAAAGTGTATGACCCGTTCCTCTTCTAGAGAACTAGTCAAATACGATCCTGAAATTGAAAAATCCTTGCGATTGTTGCGAAAAGAAAAAACCTCACAATCTCAAATTTTCACATCAGAGGAAATAGAGAACGAAGAACTCAATAAGCAACTTCCACCACATCAAGTAGAAGAACAATTTGATGAGGTGGCACCACGACGTGATAGAATACTCTGTGATTATGCAAGGCCAGATCATTTTGAAGGAGAATTAAGTGTGAGGAGACCACCAATTGCAGCAAACAACTTTGAAATCCACACAGGCTTGATTCAAACCATTCAACAGTCATGTCAGTTTACTGGTGATGCGAGTGAAGATCCTCATACCCATTTAATTAATTTTCTTGAATTAGTTGAAACTTGTAGGTATACTGGAGTCACAACAGATGCTATTAGGTTGCGGTTTTTTCCTTTTTCATTAAAAGGTGAAGCCAAAACATGGTTGTGAAGTCTACCAAGAGGTTCCATTACAACATGGGACCAAATGACCCAAAAATTTCTTAATAAATATTTTTCACCTGCAAAAACATTTAAAATGAAGCAAGAAATCAATAATTTTATGCAGACGGATTCTAAATCTGTATACCAAACATGGGAAAGATTAGTAGCAATGTTACGAAAATGCCCACATCATGGTATCCAAGACCCTGATATTTTATATATTTTCTATCACGGTAAACCCTCTGCTAGAAATGTAATTGATGCAGCATCAGGAGGATCAATAATTGGAAAAACTACTGTAGAAGCAATGCAATTGCTTAATGAGATTTTGAAAAATGCTGTTCAATGGCCCTCAGATAGAATTATTATCAAGAAAACAGTAGGAGTAAATCAAGGTGAAGCTTTGAATTCATTGACACAACAAATTGCGACCTTAACACAAAAAGTTGAGGCTTTTCAGGTAGGTGCTCACTCATCATCCCAACTTGAGAATTGTGATGTTTGTCAAGGTAATCATCCAAATCATGAACGTCAAACTTCAACACAAATGAGGAACAGGTAAATGTGATTAGTTATAGAAATAATTACTCATTCGGTAGTCCCATGGCACAAAAACATACAGGATTTCAATGGTGTAATCCTAATGGTGCTGAAAATCCTCAAAGATTTTTTAATCAAAAGCAGCAGGTACAAGGACCACCTGGTTTTCAAAATCAAAATAGAGGGCAACAAAATTTTCAACAATATCAGCAGCAGCCTCAAAGAGCTCATCAACAAAGTCTTGAAGACCTGATGTACAAATTCATTAAGGCTACTGACAAGAAGGTTGAAAGTCAACATTCACCTATCAAAAATTTGGAAATTCAGGTAAGTCAATTAGCAACCCTCATGTCTGGACAAATTCAAGGTGCTCTACCAAGCAACACTGAGAAAAATCCAAAAGAACACCTCAAAGTCATCTCTCTACGATCATGTAAATCTCTTGATGATCCATATGCATATAGAGAAGGAAAGCCACAAGAAGTGGAAAAGGTAAATGAAGGTGAGAATAAAATAGAATCTAAGTTTCCAAAAAAACAAAAGAATAAAGGAAAAAATGTACAAGAAAATAAATTGATAACAAATCCTCACTTTGTACCTCTCCCTTTTCCCCAAAAGATGAAAAGAGAAAAGCTTGACAAACAGTTTTCAAAGTTTTTAGATATTTTGAAGCAACTTTACATTAACATACCTTTCACAGATGCTTTGACACAAATGCCTTCATATGCTAAATTTCTCAAAGAAATTTTGTCAAGTAAAAGAAAATTGGAAGAAGTTTCAGTGGTTAAACTTACAGAAAAAGGTAGTGCTATACTTCAAAATAAACTTTCACAGAAACTTGGTGATCCGGAAAGTTTTACAATTCCTTGTACCGTAGGAGGTACTCACTTTGAAAAGGCATTATGTGATTCGGGTGCTTTAATAAATCTAATGCCTTTTTCAATTTTCAGGAAATTAGAACTTGGTGAAATGAAAGATACTGGTGTGTCTCTTCAATTAGATGATCAAAGTACTAAGAGACCAAAAGGAATTATTGAAAATATCCTTGTTAGAGTTGGTAAATTTGTATTTCCAGTAGATTTTATAGTGCTTGAAATGGAAGAAAATACTGAGGTACCATTAATTTTAGGTAGACCATTTCTCGCAACAGGGAGAGCAATTATTGATGTTCATCAAGGACAATTAATATTGCGAGTTGATGAGGAAAGAGTGATTTTTGACAAGCAAAAAATAATAAAATTTCCTGGGGATGAGTCATCATCATCTTGTTTTCAAATTGACTTACTAGATGACCTTGTAGACGAATACAAAGATAATCAGTTAATTACCGATTCATTGGAGAGATGTTTGGCTAGGTCAGGTACCATAAGTGATGATAGCCCCGTAATTAGAGAAGAAGTTGAAATTCTAGAAAAAGAGTCAGAAAATGAGAAAGTCTCACAAGAAGGAGTTCAATTAAAAATTGAACTCAAAGAACTTCCTTCTCATTTAAAATATGTGTTTCTTAAACCTGAATTATTTCCAGTAATCATTTCATCTTCTTTGACTATAGAACAGGAAAGCAAACTCATTGGAGTCCTGAGAAAATACAAAACTGCCTTAAGGTGGACTATAGCTGATAAAGGAATCAGTCCAGCTATTTGTATGCATAGGATTCTTATGGAGAATGATTATATGCCAATAGTCCAACCCCAAAGGAGACTAAACCCAGCAATGTAAGAAGTCGTCAAGAAAGAAGTCGAGAAACTTCTAGCAGCAGGTATCATTTATCCAATATCTGACAGTCCATGGGTAAGTCCTGTACAAGTAGTTGTAACGATCCGACTGGTCATTTTGAGCTTTTGTACTTTGATCGCTAGTTCTCGGGCATGACTTGCCTCGTATGATGTATTATGACTGATGTAGATCGATGGTTTTGGTTTTCAGGAAAATCGGAAGGAATTTGAAAGAACAGTCTTAGATGAAAGCTTTCAATTTGAAAGGTTTGACCAAGAGTTGACTTATTTGTATATGATCTCGGATTAGAATTTTTATGATTTGGTTAGCTCTATTAGGTGATTTATGACTTAGGAGCGCGATCGGAATGCATTTTGGAAGTCCGTGGAAGGATTTGGCTCGAATTGGCAAAGTTAGTATTTTGGCGAATTCCGGTTGATAGGTGAGATTTTGATCCGAGGGTCGGAATGGAATTCTGAGAGTTGCTATAGCTTTGTTATGTCATTTTTGATGTGTGTGCAAAATTTCAGGTTATTCGGACATTGTTTGGTCGGGGTTTTGATCAAAAGTGTATTTCGGAAGTTTTTGGAAACTTAGGCTTGAATTCTATGAGTTTTGGGTATTTTGATTTTGTTTGAGGTGTTTTGATGATTGGAACAGGTTTTAATGATGTTATAAATTATATTGGCAAGTTTGGTCGGGGTCCCATGAGGCTAGGATAAGTTTAGGAAGAGGTTTTGGAAGATTTTTGCCGTTTTGAGGATAAACATGTATGATTCAAAGGTCCATTTTTAGTTCTAGATATAGAAATTTGATTTTGAGACTTCCAAAATTTCAATAATGAATTATATGAGTGATCTGGAAAGTTTGGTCTAATTTCATCAAGTCGCGATTGAGTTTTTGACGCGAATCAAGAGTTAATTGTTTAACGAGCGAAATGGATATCGCACTGAGAAAACGAGCTCTAAATTGAGTTTCGATTGAAGGACTATGTTCGTATCATTATTTGTGACTCATAGGAACAAGAATCATCAAATTCTGAGTTCGTATGATGGAGTTAGAGCCTTTTTAGTGAAATTAAACATTGCTGGTGCAGTAGGATCTGGTGCGGATCTTTAGCGACCAGATTTGTTACTTTTAGCGATGGGAATGGCTCTTTTAGCGACCAAAATAGGTTTATTAAAGTTGTTGCATTTTTCTGCTCATTTTGACCTTTTTTTGGTGAAAGAACACGGCTTGGGGCGATTTTTGAGCAAGAAATCATGGGAAATCTTGAGGTAAGTCACTTGTGATTATTTCTATTCTATAATATTGAATTATCATCGAATAATCCGACTAGAGTACATGTTTTTAAGGTGTAAATTAGGGATTTGGACCTAGAGATTTGAAAATAAGATTTGAAGATTTGGAGGCCGAATTGTTAGCGGAATTTAGTAATTTTGGTATGGTTGGACTCGTGGTTGAATGGGTTGTCGGATTTTGTGAGTTAAATTGGATATTTTCGAGTGGGCTTAGCTCCCTTAGCATATTTTAATGATTATGTACTGATTGTGGTTAGATTTGGAGCATCCGGACGTCGATTCATGCGGGCGAGGCATCGCGGGCTAGATTTTGGACCGGATCGAGGTAAGTAATGATTGTAAATACTGTCCTGAGGATTTGAAACCCCGGATTATACATCGTTGTGTTACTTTAAGGTGACTTGCATGCTGGATGACGAGCGCGGGGTAGAGCACCGATGGGGATTGTGACCTAGTCCATCCCAAACGAATATTTTAATGCGTATTTGATAGTTAATTGTTTGACATTATTATATTTTTGGGTTATATGCCATGTTTGGGGCCTTGTGCCGACTTGTTGAGACCATTAGGGTCATTTTTACTATCTTTCCTCACTCTATTTGTTTGAAAGCATATTCTCAGTCATGTTTTACCTGTTTACTGCTCAAATCTGGCTTTATCACTATATTCTTAAAATGTGGAAACTGTTTTGGGCTGAGTTCCCTGTTTTACTGAGATAGACCGAGCGTCTGATTGTGAGATTGATGACTGAGATAGACTGAGAGTCTGATGGTGAGGTTAATGACTGAGAGAGGCCGATGGCCTAGTTGTGAGGATTATATATCTATGAATCGGGCTGCACGCCGCAACAATGTATATATATATGTATATGGATCGGGCTACACACCGCAGCGATACTTATATGGATCGGGCTGCGCGCCGCAACAATATAGCACTTGGGCTGTAGAAGCCCTTCCAGAGTCTGCACACCCCAGTGAGCGCAGTCGACTATTTATATGGATCAGGCTGTGCACCACAGCGATGCATGGATCGGGCTGCACGCCGCATCGGTTACTTTGATTTTAGTTATTGTGAGAGATATACGGATCAGGCTGCACGCCGTAGCGGTTACTATATGGTACCAATTGTGCGTAAATGCTGAGTGCTAGTATTGATTGGTAAGAGTTGAGTCACGAGTGACAGAGAGGCTATCCCGAGGGGCGATAGATATATACATGCATATGAGTGGTGTTTTGCCTGAGAGACCTGTTTATGGACTTATTGATTTCACTCCTCTTAAAATGAGTTTCTATCGAATATGTTGATTTATTGACTGTTTTAACTCATCTTTTTATTGAGCCTCTGTCGGAAAGTTGCACAAATGTTTTAAAACAACTTTTATTTAAACTGGGGTTTATGAGATGTTCAGAAATTAATCATTGATTTGACATTGGTTATTTCCACTGAGATTTTCAATTTATGAAGTGTTTGTTATTACTGTTTTGCCCGAGGGGCTGTTTTACGAACTATGCTTTGCCCGAGGGGCCGATTATGACTTTAATCTCTATTATTATTTTAAATGGTATTGAACCCCTACTGAAACTGTTGGAAGGTATTTCAAAGATGATTTTTACTAAAAGCTGGATTTTAAAAGGGAAGATTGACTCATATTATGATTTGAAAGCCTGTTGTGTTTATTGAACCTAGCGTAAATGTGGATTCATCGTTTCCTACTGCTCAGCCTTTATTTACTCTTATTACTTACTGGGTTGGAGT